GCTGCGGTGCCGCTTAGTCCTCAGGCAGGCGGGCGGCCGCTCGCTGTTCTCCTTGTTGCTGTTGCACTCGCTCATCTCCTGCGCCGTGAGGTCGTCCTCCAGGATGACCTCCAGCGGGTCGAAGATGCTGATGCGGTGCAGGCGCCCCTCGATCTCGATCTCCACCATCCTCTGCGCCTGCGCGTAGGTCAGCGTCTCCCGGGTGGGGGAGTGCCGGGTGCTGCGCGGGGAGGAAGGGGGCCTCGCTGCGGCGCCTCGGTGGCAGCGGCCTTTCCTCCTCATTTGGCAACGGCGACCTGCCCAGAGAGCCAAGCCGTTAGCTGGGGACGCAGCTGCCCCCCCCGCCCAGCGCTCGCGAGGCCCCCGCGCTCCTTCCCCCACCACCTCCCCAGGGCCCCGGCCCCCCCAGAGCGGCCGCTCGACCGCGGAGACCTAGCGCCGTGGCCGGCAGCGCCGTGGCCGTGGGAGCCCGCCCGCGCCCCCTCAGCCCAGGGCCCGGCCCCGACACACTCAGGCGTAGCCCAAGGCCACCAGCCCCAGCGGCCCCGGAGGGCCGCACAGCCCCTGCCTCGCGGCCAGCCCACCTGCCCCTCGGCCATGTCTCAGCGCTCCGTCAGCAAGGGCCACCCCACTGCTCGGGGCTGAGAAGGACTCGCCTTGGACACCTGGGCCTGCCCTCCCGGTGCCCGCGGGCGCCCCAATCCCGACCCCCACAGGTGCCATGGCGACCCCAGCAGCTCAGCCTGCGAGTCCAACGACACGACCCGCCGAGCCCCGTGAGGTGACTCCAAACAGCCTGGAGCCCGGGCCAACGGCCTCCGGCCCCCACGCAGTCCAGGGAGCCTGGCCCCGGTCTCGCTGCCACCGCACAAGCGCCCTTGAAGGGCGGAGAGAGCCCACCCGGCACAGCCCAAAGGGGCCTCCAGCGCTGACCCTCAGGGCCACGTGCCCCGCAGCACTTTGCAGGCAGGGGACAGCTGCCCACAGGGAGCACAGCCCCAGGCCCCTGCAGAGCGGCCAGCCCAGGTGTCTCACCGCCACCTGGGCGTCCAGCAACCTGCGCCGCGAGCGAGGCCCAGTGGGCAGGGCCTCCGGTGGGCAGCTCGTGGCCACGGGCTCGCCGGCGCCCCGCCGGCCTACCCTCCCTGCCGCTGCCCAGGAGGCCCGGCGCCCACCCACAGCTCTGGGCCTGCGTCCGGGAGGAGCGTGCCCAGAGGGAGCCCGGGGCGGCACAGGCCGCTGCACAGCCACCGCGGAGGCGCCGGG